ATTTAACCAAAAAAGTAATTTCAATGTCACTTATTTTATTACTCCGTATTAAACAATTTAGCTAAAATGGCCGGTTTAAAATAATTTGACAAAAACATTGACGGATTAGTCAAACCATATGCTACCAAATGGGTTTTAAGTGGTAAAAGATAAGAGTAAAAATTAGGTGACATCACAAAAATAGTCTATTTATGTTTGAGGCTATATATCTCAAGTCTCAACAGTACTTGTCTACCTATCTCTCATCAGTTCAAACGTTAATCCCATTGGAGACAAAAATTAATCCGGAGCAAAATGTTTCAAAAACTTGATCTTCATGGGTCGGTGCGGCATTAGGTGTTTTAGACAGTGTTCTAAAAGGCTCTAAAAAGCGCAGCCTTTGCGGGCCTATGTGCTAGGCGTCCATAGAATGCCCCGCACCACCGAAAGGCGTGAAGAAAGGCGACCCGAGAAACACGAGGCCTTAAATTTAACTAAATTCGAAGCCCATTGGCAGTAGCCCATAGACCAACCGCTCCACCTACATGCGTCATGGGAAGCTAGCTTTTTTTGAAAAAGAGAAGTGCTCTTTTATTTATAGCATTGGAGTAAAGAGTTGTCTACTCAAACGGTGTGGGAAATTTAAGTCCTCCGTATGAGGAAGAATAGAAAGGAACATACAAAACCTTCTCTTGCAACTTGGATCACATTTCGGCTTTGGTATTATAAAATAAAATTGTCCAACCACCAATTGGTAACGTTTAAACTTGTTCAAAGTTATATAAATGCCATAGACTATTCTTTTCATCATCATTCATGATGGAAAATTCATTATCATTATCAGAAGCTAAGTATATATTCATGATTAAAACAGATATTGTTTATAAAATGTAACATTTTCATTGTAGTAACTTTAATCAGAGTTTATAAAACAGACTATTCTTTCGAAAGTGTATTGGAAGTTTTTTTTATAACTTAATATTTTTTTTTAATTTTTTTTTTTTATTTTTTTTTTTAACCTAATATAAACATTTATATTAATGTGGCTTTAATCTGTAGGAGTATACACTTTCGAAAGAATATATTACTTAGAGAGTGTATACTCCTAGGCTCCAAAGGCTTAAGGTTTGGACATGCCGTCTCGGCACGCCTTACGCCTTTTAGAACATTGGTTTTAGAGAGTGTTTGCAATAATTTAAAAAAAAAACAATTCTCAGCTTTTGGCTTAAAAACACTTATTTACCAAACACCACTAGTTTTTACTTTTTCTCGGCTTGCGTGTGAAAAATGTTTTTCACTACACAAAAAACACTTATTTTACCAAACACTACCAACTTTTACTTTTCAAAATCATTTTTTTCTCAAACACTATCAACTTTATTACTTATCACTTTTTCCGAATTACTCCTCAAAAATGCTTTTTTTAAGCATTGCAACTGTTCCTGACCCATGTAGCGATGATAATCTCATCGATCAACACCCTGACACTGCAATCGATGTTACGAGGTCGAAAAAATAAGGGAAATTTGTAAAATTAGTCCCGTAACTTTTGACCATACCCGATATTAGTCCTCTAACTTCATTTACTTGCATAATACGTCCTCTAATTAACATATTTGTCCAATTTCAGGACGTTTACACAGAAGAGTAATACTTCTATCAAAAATTAACACATCAGCGCCACTTGTTCAGTTTTTGTTCCAAATAGCGAGCTGACTTGGACTTGAGCCCTGTTTATGGTTCCCTCCAAACACTCCTTATTTTAAAAATACCGCACGTCCGCACACTTCATACAAAACCCTAACTACTTCAACATCTCTGCTACTTCAAACATGGAGAAATCCCAAATTGGTTCATAAAACATTAAAAATAGCTAGATTAAAGTGAAAATTAGATTATACCTTTTCCATGTATTGCTAAGAAATCCCAAATACGAAAAATGTAAAAATCAACATAAAGAAAAAACTGCACTACAGCCTAATTCTTTTAAACATTTTCAACACTTTTCAACTTTAAAAGCTTCCATTTGTAACCATAAAAACGTTCCAGGTAATACTAATTTTTTAACATTTCCATTCTCAACACTTTTCAATTTCCAGTGTCTTTTAGAACTTCTAACAGTACAAATTCTTTTCTTTGATATCAAAGTAATACTATATGTAAAATCTTTAATTTTTTTTTCAAGCAAAAGTCGAAACCTACAAAATTGAAAAGTTTAGAGCTCTTACTCATGGAACACACATGGAACCTCCTTCTTGGGTTGTCATCGGTCCATGAAATTAAAACAACGACCTTCTTATTACTACAATAACATCCCATAGATCCTTGCCTGAGAGCCATTATTTGCAAGTTAGAAGAACACACACTCACCTTCCTTCAATATGTGGAGAAGGCGGACCAACGGTTACACTCACCTTACGTTTTGTGCTTTTCTTACTGTACTGGGGTGGTTGGGAGAGCATCGGAAAGTGTTTGGGAGTGAGCCGTAGAAAGGGGCTCAAATCCAAGTCAGCAATAAGTTTAAAAAATATTACAAACAGATGGAGATGACATGTAACTTTCCGGCCAAACTTCAACTTTCCGTCGCCAATGTCCTGAAACTGAACAAATATATTGGTTGGAGGATGTATTTTGCAAGTATGTGAAGTTATAGGACCAATATCGACCACAGACAAAAGTTACATATCCATTTAACAAATTTCCCAAAAAATAACGAAGTCGCGTACGGGAATTCCAAAAAATATGACGATTCAGTGTTCGAAGACATTAGAGCTTCTCCGGTGTGCCAGTCAAATACTTGTTGAAGTGGATCAATACATATTTGCTTGCAAAGCTGAAATGCTCCGTGCAGTCCCCTGAATCATTTCTTTTATGCAAAAGACCATTAAGCAGAAGAAGTTGAGTTTGTGAAGAGAACATGGCGGCGGTAAAGGAAGAGCCGGTAGTAGTACCCCTGAGGCTTTTGGTAGATGAGAAAAAGAAACGAGTAGTGGCTGCGGAAGCAAACATGGACTTTGTCTATATACTCTTCAGCTTTCTCACCTTCCCAATGGGAACCATTATCAGGCTCATCACCAGCAGCTCTGCAAATGAGAGCACTACAGCTGCTGTGTCAGTAAGGTGTATGAACAAGATATACGAAGGCGTTTAAAACCTGAGCAGCCAGTATTGGCACTCAGAACACTACAAGAACATTCTTCTAAATCCCAGAAATCCCCTTGCCGACTTGTGCAGTAAGTTGAAGATTAACATTGATGATTCTGGGTCCGAAATCACATATCGCTGTCCAAACTAGCGTTGCACAAATTCTAGCATGCACCGAAATGTTGGGTGCCCGGGTTTTTGTGGTGGCAGTACCACAGAAGAGAGGAAGCCCAAACGTTATGGCTTAAGTGGACGTGGTGCCTTTTTGAAGGGAGAAATAGTATTCATAATCTCTGACGATTTACAGATCAGGCCTGCCTCTCCTGCAGTTCTTGCTCAACTTATTCCTGACATTGGCTCAAGAGATTGGAGTAGTAGAATCAGGGAGATGTGTGTTCAAGTTTCCAAGGCTGAGGTACCCCACTTCTAATCTTTATCTGTGAAAATATTGGTACATTGAATTCATCTGATAAAGAGTGGTTATTTTAATAATGGTAACCTGAAAGGTTTGGAAAAACCAATTGTTTGGTCATTTTGGTGGTTAGTGAAAAAAATACAATAAATGAGTAATAAGAAGGCCTTCATATATTTAAGCTATGAGATTTTTCTTTGCTTTTTGAATTTACTCTAAAGTTTCCGTAGAGTTGATATATATGATCTGTGATCTGTGATAAATGAGAGGGTTATTGGAAATCTTATTTGATTTTTTTTTTGCGAGCTTATTTGAATTATTATTTCAATTGTTTACTAGTTTAGCTTTGTCATATCTGTTAAATGTAATTTAGTTATTAGTCAAGGGTATTTTTGTATTTTTATATTTCCTAGTTTCCTCTTGTATTGGACTCTCAGCCTTGCATTCCTTATCGATTAACAATGGACTTCTTCTTCTCTATCTTACTTCTTCCATATGCATAGCTTCTAACAATGGACTTCTTCTTCTCTATCTTACCTCTTCCTAAATTTTCTCAACAATTTTGTCCATGGTTTCGGACTCCATCATCTGCAGTTAGCAATAAGAGGCTTCTCTCCCTCAGTGGCAGTGGCAGTGGCTGGCAGTGGCTCACTCTTTCTTCAACATCAATTTGGCTAGGTTTTCTGGTTAGAGCCTTTGTGTATCTCCTTTCTCCTTCAGTATTTGAATTTGGATTTTCTGCTATTGTGATTGTTAGTTATGGCAACTGAAAGAGATGATTCTTTGCAATCCATTAGTGTGCAACTAAATGGACAGAATTATGCTTATTGGAGCTATGTGCTGAGAAATTTTTTGATTGGTAAACGAATGTGGGGATATGTTTCTGGTACTGTTGCTAAACCCAAAGATAGAGATAATGAACACTTTGAAAAGGAGTTGGAAACCTGGGAAGTGAACAACTCAAAAATCATTACTTGGATTAACAACTCTGTTTCGCAATCAATAGGTGTTCAACTTGCAAAATATGATACAGCATTTCAGGTTTGGGAGCATCTGACACGCTTGTATGTATAGTCCAATTTTGCAAAACAGTATCAGTTGGAGATTGATTTCGAGCTCTTCAACAACATAGCATGAGCATCCAAGAATTTTATTCTGCTATGACTAACCTTTGGGATCAATTGGCACTTACTGAATCTGCAGAATTGCAAGCTTTCAAACCATATACCGATCGCAGGGAACAACAACGCTTAGTACAATTTTTGATGGCTCTTCGGGTTGATTTTGAAGGCCTTCGTGGTTCCATTTTGCATCGCAACCCTCTGCCATCGGTTGATTCTGTTGTTAATGAACTATTAGCTGAAGAAGTTCGTTTGAAGTCACATTTTGAAAAGGGAATTGCTGAGAAAGGGATTCTGCCAAGTCCATCTGTTTTTGTTGCCCCGGTTATGAAAGCAAAATCTCATGGCAGAGTTAATTATGATGAATGTAGCTTTTGCAAAGAAAAAGGTCACTGGAAGGCTCAATGCCCAAAATTGTTGAAGAAGGACCCATCACACATGTCATCTCAGTGGCGTCCGCCTCAGCCAAATAACAGAAACTTTAGGCATTCGTCTCCTTTTTCCAATGTTGCTGCTGTTAATGCTGTTTCTCCTTCTGCCAACCCTGGGGGGTTTATTCCGGGTCTTCCATGTCTGATCTTGCCGAACAATTTCAGAAGTTTCTGGCATCTCAACCTAATGCCATGTCAGTCTCTCCTACTGTAGGTCTATCTTCTACGGGCTCATCAGGTATATCATCTTCAGTTTGGATTCTTGACTCTGGGGCTTCTCATCATATGTCATCTGACTTTAAATCTTTTACGTCTATACGTAATTCTTCTTCTGTATCTGTGATGACGGCTGATGGCAGCCCTATGTTATTGAAAGGAATTGGTCCTATTTCCACACATAAACTGTCTCTTTCCGATGTTTATTATATACCTAACCTCACTTTAAGTCTAGTCTCTGTTAGTCAGCTGTGTGATTCTGGTTTCTCGATCTTATTTTCTTCAAGTCATTGTTATGTGCAGGATCCTCAATCGAAGAGGTTGATTGGGACAGGTCGTAGGCAGGGGGACTTTACATTTTGGATGAGCTGAGGATTCCACATGTTGCCGCTCCTACTGTTGATTTGTCATCTTTTCGTTTGAATTTGTCTTCTTCTAAGTTTTATTTATGGCATTCTCGCCTTGGTCATGTATCTTCACCTCGTCTAAAATACTTAGCATCAACTGGAGTTTTAGGATCTTTACAACCAAATGACATTTCTGACTGTTGTGGTTGTAAACTTGCCAAGTTTTCTGCTTTACCTTTTTGTAAAAGTGTTTCCATTTCTAAGGAACCTTTTGATTTGGTTCATTCTGATGTATGGGGTCCATCCCCAGTTGCTACTAAGGGTGGATCAAGATATTATGTTTCTTTCATTGATGATTACACTCGTTATTGTTGGATTTATCTTATGAAGCATCGTTCTGAATTCTTTGGTATTTATTCTGCTTTTCGTGCTTTGGTTAAAACTCAACATAACTCTATTATTAAGTGCTTCCGCTGTGATTTAGGTGGTGAATACACCTCAAACAGATTCTCTGAGTTACTTTCCTCAGATGGAACCCTTCACCAAGCCTCTTGTACTGACACCCCTGAACAAAATGGAGTTGCTGAAAGAAAGCATCATCACATTCTTGAAACAGCTCGTTCTCTGCTCTTGTCAGCTTCAACTCCTACTGAGTTCTGGGGTGAGGCTGTCAACACTGCAGTCTATGTCATTAACCGAATCCCTTCTTCTGTTACTTCAGGTTTGTCTCCTTTTGAAAGACTATATGGTCATCCACCTGATTACTCATCATTGAGGGTTTTTGGTTCTACTTGCTTTGTTCTTCTTCCTCATGTTGAACGGAGTAAGTTATCTCCTCGGTCTGCCATATGTGTGTTTCTTGGTTATGGGGATGGTCAAAAAGGTTATCGTTGTTATAATCCTGTTACTCACAAACTGTATACTTCTCGTCATGTTGTCTTTCTTGAACATTTGCCATTTTACTCCATTCCATCTGACTCTCATAGTATTACCAAATTCGATCTCACTCAGATTGATCCGTTTGTTGCGGATATTGATGCTGCAAATGACTTTAATTTTGAGAATTTCAGGGATGAAGATTCTCATACTCCCCCGCCTGCCCATGACCCTCTGCAGATTGGTGATCCTCATTCCTCTCCTCCCATTCCTCCTCGTTACCCTCGTCGTCTCCGTAAGTCCACTCAATTACCTGATTTTGTTTACTCCATTTATTCTACTTCCTTTGCTTCTGCTTTGACCTCTCTACACAGACTGTCTGAGCCATCCTCTTATCAAGAGGCTATTCTTGATCCACTGTGGCAGCAGGCTATGGACGATGAACTTTCAGCTTTGCACAAAACAGGTACTTGGACTCTGGTTTCTCTACCACCAGGAAAACGTGCTATAGGTTCTCGTTGGGTTTTCAAGATCAAAGTCAAGTCTGATGGGTCTGTTGAGCGCTACAAAGCTCGTCTTGTTGCCAAGGGGTATGCTCAACAATATGGCATGGATTATGAAGAAACTTTTGCCCATGTTGCCAAGATGACAACCATTCGCACTCTTATTGCTATTGCTTCTGTTCGTCAATGGCATATTTATCAAATGGATGTTAAAAATGCCTTTCTTAATGGCGATCTTCATGAAGAAATATATATGGTGCCTCCTCCTGGAGTTTCTCATAATCCGGGGGAAGTATGCAAGCTGCAAAAGTCTCTCTATGGGCTCAAACAAGCTCCTCGCGCTTGGTTTGAGAAATTCTCTATTGTGATAACTTCGCTTGGCTTCTCTTCAAGTCCACATGATTCTGCTTTATTTGTCAGGTATACTCCGCATGGTTGCATTATCATCTCTTTATATGTTGATGATATGATCATTACCGGTAATGATGCTGATGGGATTACAAAGTTAAAGGCACAACTAGCACAACAATTTGAGATGAAGGATTTAGGCACTCTCAGATATTTCTTGGGAATTGAAGTAGCTTCCTCTCCTAAAGGTTATCTTCTTTCCCAATCGAAATATATTGCAGATATTCTTGACATGGTTAGTCTCTCTGATATTAAAGATGTTGATAGTCCACTCGAGAGTAATGCTAGATATACACCTTCTGATGGTGTTCCTCTCTCTGAACCCACACTATACCGCACTCTTGTTGGGAGTTTGGTGTATCTGACTATTACCAGGCCTGATATTGCTTATGCAGTGCACATTGTTAGCCAGTTTGTGAGTTCTCCTACTACTGTTCACTGGGCAGCTGTTCTTCGGATTCTTCGCTATCTTCGAGGCACTCAATTTTAGAGTCTTCTTTTCTCTTCAACTTCTTCTTTAACATTGTGTGCTTATTCTGATGCTGATTGGGCTGGGGATCCTACTGATCGCAAATCTACTACGGGTTTTTGCATTTTTCTAGGAGATTCTCTCATATCTTGGAAGAGTAAGAAGCAGGATGTTATCTCTCGCTCTTCTACAGAAGCTGAGTATCGTGCTATGGCAACCACCACTGCTGAAATAGTTTGGTTGCGTTGGTTACTTGCTTCTCTAGGTGTTGATCTGCCTGAACCAACCCCCATGTACTGTGATAATAGGAGTGCTATCCAAATTGCTCACAACTCAGTCTTTCATGAGCGCACTAAACATATTGAGATTGATTGTCACTTCACACGTCACCACTTTCAACATGGCACCATCACCTTACCTTTCATCTCATCGTCGTTGCAGATTGCTGATTTGTTTACCAAACCCCATTCTACTCAACGTTTTCGTTTCTTGACTAACAAACTCTCGATGCTTTCGATTAATGCATCTTCAGTTTGAGGGGGGGTGTTAAATGTAATTTAGTTATTAGTCAAGGGTATTTTTGTATTTTTATATTTCCTAGTTTCCTCTTGTATTGGACTCTCAGCCTTGCATTCCTTATCGATTAACAATGGACTTCTTCTTCTCTATCTTACCTCTTCCATATGCATAGCTTCTAACAATATCCTTTTATTACAAACAGATGTATCTTACTTAGCCCATATGTTCCATACTAGTCTGCCAAGATAGAATATACATGTACCACATCCATACTCAGGGCCGTCTTTAGCTGATTTGGTGCCCTAGACAAAAACTAAAATCACATTTTTCATGTGATATTAGTTAGTAATATTTTACACCTTAATTATGTACTCCGTATAGTAGTCGATTAAAAGTACCAAATTATACCCCATCTGATCCTCTAATAAACTTCACACTTTGACTTTACGGTTTTTAAGAAAATGGATTTTTTGCTTTTGACTTTCCCAACATACCCCTACAAAGTAGATTAAATGTGGTGGGAGAGAGAAAGTGAGTGTAGTATATGTTATAAAAGTAAGGGTATAAAGGTAACTCTATACTGTCGTATTAAATACTTGACAAAAGAAAAAGTGTGAACTTTATTTTGGATTCCTAAAAGGAAAGTGAAGTTTATTTGGGACCAAAGGTAATTTTTTGGGAAGAAGGTAATATTTTTTAGAACATTGTCTTTGAAGTACAAAATCACTTATATTACAAAATTTTGAATATTTCATAGGGTATAGTTAAATTGAAAACAATGTTTTCTTTTCCTTGGTCATTTTTAAATTACACTACGTATTGACTACAGAGTATAATATAGTAAAACATACGAGTACCCATTAGGCTATTACTAATTTTGTACTCAATACTAAATAACGAAATGACACTACATTGGTCTTGGAAGGCTCGAGCATTGCATTGATCTTCGAAGGCTCAGATGTAGCAACCTGATCAATGTTCCGATGTAGCAACCATATCGATGATGAAGGATATTCTGAGAGGAGTCCCACCCCACCCCAACCTCGATGATGAGGCTTATTCTGAGAGGACTCACACCCCCACCTCACCCAACCTTGATGATGAAGGTTATTCTGAGATCGAGGAGCTTGCCCCGGCCCCACCCCACCTGCGATGATGAAGCTTGTTCGCAGCGTTGTCACACCCCACCCCACTCTCGATGATGTGTGAGGTATCCAACCCCACCATAAATGGTGAAGCTTATTTCGAGTCATGGCCTTTGAATTTTGAATGCAAATGTTTCTTTTGTAATTTCTAGAATAATAAAAAATTAGTATCCATAATAATGGCCACTTGCTACATAGATATACGTTTTACAAGTTTTGCTTTTCTTCTATTTGTGCACAGTGGAGTTTCTTTCACTTCCCAAAAGCAGAATACCCAATACTCATTATGTAACTATATACGGAGTATATAGTAGTTTTATTTTAAAAAATTGATGCCCCTCATTATTTGGGTGCCCTAGGCATATGCCTAGGTGCCTCCCCCATATAGCCGGCACTGTCCATACTAAGGAAGTATGATGAATTCTCTTTGAGACCACCTCTATTCTCTCTTAATATGTAGTAGTTCATTTACAATAGCGTAATTTAAATTCCATCAAATTTATCACAGGTAATATGCCTGCTTGCACGTTCATTGGTTTCAGAGTCTCCAATAAGTGATGTCTTTCTTACTAATGTTCCTGCATATGGAACAGTGGGAATCCAAATGAAGCCACCGAAACTGGTTTCTACTTTTTCATCACCAGCATCCGAGTCGCTTCAGAAAGATGAACAGAATAATGATAATAGCCTGAATCTTAAAGTGACATCGTTCAAGTCTACACAGGAGATATTGTTTGGTGAAGCGACAAATGAGTTCTTTGATTTTATGTGCAGCTTTCTGACCACTCCTATCGGATCAATGATGCGTGTTTTGGAAGGGCAATCGGAGCTAAAATGCATGGATAACTTGTACACTAGTGTGCTAGAGTTGGATCCGAACTGGTTTCATTCTTCAAATAAGTGTGGCTTACTCGACCTTTGCATTGCGCAAGATCATAACTGCAACATCATTCGTTCGTATCAAAATAGGCATTTGCTGAAAAATGACAAATCAATCATATTCTCCGGAAATGATGGATAAGTGCTAGCAACAATTGAAATAATAGGAACATTTGAATTGGTAATAAATATATTATCGGGTATACCAATAAAGACCTCTCTCCATATCTGACATTCTCAATATTTTCATTTTCTATTTTGAGCACCTACTATGATAAACTTTTCATCACCAACTTTAAAACGTGGAGAACAACGTCACACCTCATTTTTTGTTGAAGTGATAACTTGACAATGTCTCCAACAACGTCACACCTCATTTTTTGGTTAAAAGGTTTTAATTTCAAGGTTATCATTCATCTCATTCGATATCATAATTCCTTTCAAATTTGAATAAATTCAATTCCAAATCATCATTTGATTTGTCACAATAATAAAAATTAGCCAATTACAATTTTTGCATTAAGCCACATATATCTACCAAAATTTATTTTTACACATAGTCGATTGTACGTTGTCATATCAAGGGTCACCTTAAGGAGCCAATTGTACATTGTCATGTCAAAGGTAATCTCATTGAGTGAGTTGAAGATTCTTATATGTGATTAAGTGATTCGTGCTTTTAGCACCATTGATAATTTGGTCTATAAACAACTTTTCTAAAAGTTGTGACCCTTTTTATACAATGACAACATATGACACTTATTCTTGCACCTTACTGTTTATTGTAAGTTTAAATGCAATTTTTCATACGATCAACATCTGTTTCCCCTACAAACTACCATTATATAATTAAAATTACAACATATAAACATTACTATATTTTTTTACTTAAAATAATTGCATATTACGTATCATTATGATAAAAGTTAATTTTAAAGAAGTTGTTATATTGCTCTAGATGTATCTGTGCATCGCATGGGTCTTGCGTCTAGTAAATATATACACACATATATACACACCCCTGATTTTATTAAACCCGCCACATATCCCGACAGGTCGTCTGGCCTATTCCCACCCCTGTTTGGTGCTATAATGCCATTAGCGATGATAATTACTCTCTCCGTCCCATTTATATTGTCTCGTTTTACTTTTTGGGGAAGTCCTACTTAAATTGTCTCATACCATATTTGGCAAAGTTTGTGTGGTTCTAAATCATTCTTACTTTATCAATTAATATCAACCACACAGACCCATTTTTCTTAATAACCGTGTCATCCCTCTTCCGGACAATATAAATAATGGGAAGGAGGTAGTAGGTGTTTTGCTGACCAATTTAGCTATGATAATCTCATATTCTCATCGATCAACAACCTGACTGCAATCGATGTTACGAAGTCCAAAAAATCAAGAAGTCGCGTACGGGAATCCAAGAAGTTTCAATTTCAAAATATGACGATTCAGTGTTCCAAGGCATTTGAGCTTCTCCCGTCTGCGAGTCAAATACTTGTCAAAGTGGATCAATATATATATATACTCCGTATTTGTCTGGAAAACTTTGATATGCTACGTCCAGTCCCCTGAATCGTTTTCTTTTCTGCAAAAACCGTTAAGCAGAAGAAGTTGAGTGTGTGAAGAGAACATGGCGGCGGTAAAGGAAGAGCCAGTAGTAGTACCCCTGAAACTTTTGGTAGATGAGAAGAAGAACCGAGTAGTGGCTGCGGAAGCAAACAAAGACTTCGTGGATATACTCTTCAGCTTTCTCACCTTCCCAATGGGAACCATTATCAGACTCATCACCAGTACACTTGCAAAGGAGAAATCCATACCTGCTGTAACAGTAGGGTGTATGAACAAGTTATACGAAGGCGTTCAAAACCTGAGCAGCCAGTATTGGCACTCAGACCACTGCAAGAACATTCTTCTCAATCCCAGAAATCCCCTTGGGGACTTCTGCTATAAGTTGAAGATTAACATTGATGATTCTGGGTCCGAAATCACATATCGCTGTCCAAACTGGCGTTGCACAAATTATAGCATGCACCGAAATGTTAGGTGCCCGGGTTTTTGTGGTGGCAGTACCACAGAAGAGAGGAAGCCCAAACGTTATGGCTTAAGTCAAAGTGGTGCCTTTTTGAAGGGATAAATAGTATTCATAATCTCTGACGAGTTACAGATCAGGCCTGCCTCTCCTGCAGTTCTTGCTCAACTTATTCCTGACATGGGCTCAAGAGATTGGAGTAGTAGAATCAGGGAGATGTGTGTTCAAGTTTCCAAGGCTGAGGTACCCCACTTCTAATCTTTATCTGTGAAAATATTGGTACATTGAATTCATCTGGATAAAGAGTGGTTATTTTAATAATGGTAACCTGAAAGTTTTGGAAAAACCAATTGTTTGGTGGTTATTGAAAACATACAGTAAACGAGTAATAAAAGTTTCCGTAGAGTTGATATATGATCTGGTTAAATCTTGTCTTGTCTTGTGGGATCGGTGATAAATGAGAGGGTTATTGGAAGTCTTATTTGAATTATTATTTCAATTGTTTACTAGTTTAGCTTTGTCATCATATCCTTTTATTACAAACAAATGTATCTTACTTAACCCATACGTTCCATACTAGTCTGCCAAGATACCATATACATGTACAACATCCATAGTAAGGAAGTATGATGAATTCTCTTTGAGACCACTTTTTATCTCTCAATATGTAGTAGTTCATTTACACTAGCGTTATTCGAATTCCATCAAATTTATCACAGGTAATATGCCTGCTTGCACGTTCATTGGTTTCAGAGTCTCCAATAAGTGATGTCTTTCTTACTGATGTTCCTGCATATGGAACAGTGGGAATCCAAATGAAGCCGCCGAAACTGGTTTCTACTTTTTCATCACCAGCATCCGAGTCGCTTCAGAAAGATGAACAGAATAATGATGATAGCCTGAATCTTAAAGTGACATTGGTCAAGTCTACACAGGAGATATTGTTCGGTGAAGCGACAAATGAGTTCTTTGATTTCATGTGCAGCTTTCTGACCACTCCTATCGGATCAATGATGCGTGTTTTGGAAGGGCAATCGGGGCTAAAATGCATGGATAACTTGTACACTAGTGTGCTAGAGTTGGATCCGAACTGGTTTCATTCTTCAAATAAGTGTGGCTTACTCGACCTTTGCATTGCGCAAGATCATAACTGCAAGAAGCAGCCTATCAAATCTTTCAATACCAAACATATACTCGAGCATCTCATAAGCCCAAGGTGGAGCAATAATTTTACTGTGGAACCATCAATGTTCTTGGTTCCAGATGATTTTCAAGTAAAGCCTCTTTCTGCTACTTCCAGTTTCCTCTTACTAAAGAAATTGGAAATTTCTTTCAGTCAGACTGAAGAGCGATGTGTCACTGTCGGTATGAAAGAGGTCATTAATAAAGCACTGCTCAAACCCAGATACTTCTCTATTATTTACTCCATATAATGCTTTCAATGCGTTTATATAAGTATGAACTTTTTTCAACAGGCCATAAGCTTACTGAAGGCTGCACTGACATCAACATCATCTGCTCTTACAAAGGGATTAGGCCCCTTCTTGCAGAAGCACAGCCCCTAGCTGCACCATCTACTTACGTCCCAACGAAAATCTCAGGGAGAACTTCAAGCTGTCTAAATAATGCTGCGAAAGTTCAGTTATATTTATCTAGTTTTTTTCATTATCTCAACTCTCAAGAATGTTATTCAAGTTTATCTTTGTTCGGGGTATAGTTCTGTACTTTATAGTTTATACCCAACTTTGTTTTGGTTTCCTATAATCCTATATTTAAAAGTGCACTTAGTTTCTTCAGTATTGTCTTCCTTTATTCTAAAAAAATAATGGCCTCAAATACAGAAATCACCAATATAATTTCTCAATTTAATGCATTTTTAAATTTTATGTTTAGCAGAGGGTGTGATGCAACATGCAATACAAACATTTTTTTAGACTTGGACAGTGTGGCTCATTACAGACCAATCATGAATTCTATACCATTGTTATCAAGTGAGTTTAACTAATTTTGATGCCATGTAGAAATTTGAAATTTCCTATTAAATGGTCATCCTTATGGAAGAACTAAAGAAAAGTCTTATATGCAAGTTCGCGTTTTTATGTCCGATGTGATGACTACCGGTAAAAGGATAGACAGCATGGTACATTATTTTTTGTAAACATATGCAAAACAAATTTCAGGCATATTTAAAGTTTGAAACCCATTTAAAATAATAATAGTAATTGATATAATTTGTGTCTTGTTTTTTTGACCATGTATTCTTATAGGAGAGCCCCACATGGATATATCAAAATGTGGAAGTTGAGTTTGTGTTTTTTGTTGAACTAATTAATTGATTATATTTTATCTTTTAAAATTGGATGGTTTAGTCAAACTGGGTTTATGCCTTCATTATCGTGGAATACACAAGAGTTCATTCATTTTCTCCATACATAATAATACAGCATATGACATCATTTATTTCACAAACTAAAAGTGCATGTCTACTACTGCAAGTTTTATTTCTCTATAGCCTGAAAATTTTAGCCAGCTTGAATGATCTTTAATGTCGCTTTTCATGCCTCTGGCAGAAAGATTTAAACCTTTCAATACCATCCTCTAGAGCAGACGGTTCCATGGCAAAACAGAACCGAAGCCAATTCTTCACTCCAACTACAACCCCTGCATAAACAAATGCATTTTACTCACACAGTACTCCATATAAGTTAAAGGAGGCTATTCTTTCTATGTTTTCTTTACCAGGGACAATTATAACAGACTCTTCTTTTGCTAGCTTGAAGCAGAAATCCACATCATCATCAATGTCTTCTAGTGCTGACGTGTTCAACTGAACCTGCGATCACCGTTGTCCACAAACCATACTGATCACCTTTTCTCTATTATTAGGGAGAATGAAACAGTGGCGGATTTATGTCTCAATATTTCGGAGCTACAAAATATTTAACGGTCATTAAGGGTAAAGAAGTCAACTGAAAAATGGAGTTCCATTTTTTAATAACAATGTACCACATCTTTTGCATAGAGTGTATTGACATAAACTAAGGGTACTAACCGTGATTCATAATTATAATGTTGTTAGATGCATGTATGCCAGAGTATACAATCCGAGTATGAGTGCGGCATATAGAATTGAAAGAGACATTAAAAAACAAGAAATTGAAAAGCTTAAATCCACAAATAACATAAAAAGGCAACTGATATAATTTTAAAAGAACAATTATATCTAGCTCTTTAATATACTTTGACATGATTCATACATCATCTTGATTTAAAACAAAAATAAGTAGGTAAAAACAACACATAAGATGGAACATATATAAAAGTGATTAATAATAATGGAATTGTAGTTAGAATTGTTAGTTAAATATGTATTGTATTATTATTGTTATGGTGGTTATGATTGTTATTATATTATTACTACTACTACTAATACTATTTTATTTTAATTTTTTTAATAACGATTCCATGCACATATTTTTTATAGGAACCAAGAACCAAACCGTTAACAACTAATACCTCATTTGTAGGAACCGGACCGAAACGGGTTATAATGGTTCGGTTCCAATCAGTTCTATGGTTCCCGGTTCCAAAATCCCACCCCTAGGTTTTGGTTTCGGAGATAATACTCCATAAATATTTAATGTATTTGTCGGATTGGGTTTCAGAATTGCAATGGGCTTTTACCAAGCTAAAATAAAAAGGGAATTTTTCACAAATAAGCTAAAAAGAGGAAATAATATCACTTTTTTGAGTTTTTTCACTTTTGAAAACTCTTTTCAAAAATAGTCTAGCTAACTTTTGTTTTCAAAAATAGATCATCGACGTAGGCAGCCTCCTGGAATCTACACTCAAAGAAACGTGCGCAGGCACTACGCTACTCATTTTACGCCTCTCTATACAAACTCCAAAAAATACTCAAATCATATTCTTAAATAGAAAAATTTTATACGTTCAGTAAAATGTAAACATGATTAGATAATTAGAAAATAATAAAATTATTAAAAATAAGAAGAAAAAAATTAAAAAAGTACGGAGTAATCAAATTAAGAAAAAATAAATTATGCATAATAAAAATATCTAAGTTGAAAATTTCTGAGTTAAATTTAAAAAACGGAATTTTAATTTAAAAAAATAAATCTCTAAACCGTTAAGAAACCTTCAAAAAAATTGGAAATACAAAACTCAAAAGAAAAAATGCGAAAGATCTACACAAAACTAAAACGTTGAAAAATTGCAATTTTATTGTTTAGAAGACTTTATATACCCTTTAATTTGTATAAAATGTACGTATAAAACAATAAAAATATAAATAATTGAAATTTTTATAAAATTAATATGACTCATAAAAAGAAATATACAAATGGTAAAGAAAAAAGAAAAAATAAAAAAATTGCACACAGAATGAAATAATGAAATTAAACTCTAAAATATCTAGAATCTTATAAACGAATAAAAATTTATAGAAAACTGTTTTTGAAAATATTAAAATTTATAATAGGCAATCAAAACTTTTAAGAATCAGTTATTATTTCGAAACTGAAATATATACAAATTAAAAAAAATCTAAATTTTGTAAGAATATATATAAATATTTGAAACAACTTAAAGAATAAAATGGTATAAAATAAAATATCGATGCAAAATTCTTTAAAAAAATTTAAAAAGTATAAAATTTAATTAAACTTAAAAGAATGAAAAATAAAAAACTAAAAAAAAGTGTGTATAGCGAAAATAAAAACGGAAAACAAAATTATGCACTACAACAATTGAAAAAATTTAAAATTTAAATGTTGTAATTCATTTTTTTTGTTGAATATTGTTTCTTTTTGTTGATAAATTTATGCTTACTGTTTCTTTTTGTTGAATATTGTTTCTTTTTGTTGATAAATCTTATTTTTTATTTTATTTTATTTTTATTGTTTCATTATGTATCATGCAGTTGGTTTATATTCATAAATCCAAATTTATCATTTTAGGTGTATGTATATAAATCTATTTAGTTATTTTTATTTCAAGGAAGGAGCAAAGATAAATAAAAATTTAAATAAGCATTAAAAAACAAAAATCAATAATAAAGCATCAATAAGAAACACCATGCAACAAAAATCAACACATTGCAACAATCTGCAACACAATGCAACAATAAGAAACTGACGTGCACTTTGTCGTGTGTGCACTCAAAATAATTTCAATACTAACAATTATACTTAGTATAGCGTAGTAGAGTTCGTATCCACAGGGAAAGGAATAACTTTTCTTTTTACAGAACCAGTAATAAAAAGGGGGGGGGGTTAGTTTTGTGATTTAATTAAATTAAACACGAAGATGAACGAGTTATATGTGTTTTAATTCAAAGATAAAAGAGACTTGGCATTACTATTTTCCACTTGTTGATATATTTTAGTTGATCATTGTTATATCTATAACTTATCTCCTCTCGAATACTCAATCGAGGAGTATATCCAATTCATCGAGGATAGTTATTAACAACGACCGTTCATTAATAACCCTTACTATTAGTCAAGTATAGAACAACGCCATATACCGACTTGATAGTAGCATTTAATCTTTTAACTCCTTGATGAAATCAATTGAGATTGATAACCTCAACACAACGGTTTCGGTTTAACCAACAAAATTAATCCCTCTTAATTTTATTAACCACGACCGTGCATTAATAAACCGAAGTTACTTACTTGTGAAACTATCAACGATTAACCATCGGTTCGTTGATCGTTTCTAGTAATAATTAATATGTGAAACAAAACTAGTTGATCCTTTAAGTAATGTTCAAAATATTAATATGAAATATGAATAGAGATTAATTAATACTCAAGGAAGAATATTAAAGAAGATGAATCCTACTATAGTTAATATCAAGATGTTAACTAATTGTCATCTTAGTAACACTCCCCAATATTAACATAGAGAAAGGAATAGCTATTACTAAGACCAATGTCAAGATGTTAACTAATTGTCATCTTAGTAACACTCCCCAACATTGATATAGAAATAGTATTTAAAGGAAGAATTAATATTCAAGGAAAGAAGTTAAGAAAATAACTCACAACTTTAATAATCAACAAACTTCAAGAGCAATACCAAGAAATGGAAGTTTAGCTCCTCATTTGGAGACTAAACATGCTAAAAGAAATATAAAGAAATGCTATTCTAAACTGAGCTTAAGAGTATAAGAGAATTGGTTCTATTGTGAAGGAAAGGGGGTGTATTTATAGGCTTTTGGGACATGCAGCTCGGGTACTCGATCGAGTATGGAAGTGTACTCGATCGGGTATGTGTAGAATGGTGAATTTTGAGCCATACTCGACCGAAGTCAGGTTGAAATTTATATGTATACCCGATCGAGTATGTCGGTGTACTCGATCGGGTATGACAATAGAACGTGGACAAATCTTTCCTTGCATGTTCCTTTGTTCCCGGATCGGATCCTTGAAAATCAGTATTGGTACTCGATCGAGTATAAGGTATACTCAACCGATTACAGGCCAAAATCAAGAACTTTCCTTCTTTTTGTCTTGTACTCTTGCACCTTCCTTCACCAATGATCATTTGATTGGTCTTGGACCTGTTTAAGACCAGAATAAACTTAATCTAAACAATTTACAAGAATTTAACAAACTAAACTATTACACCAAAAGTGTGTAATTTCCGAAATATTAAACAATCAAAGCTAACTAAAAACGTAAACAAACAACGGAAATTACAAGCCTATCATAAACACATAAAATGCAACAAAAAGAAACAAAAAATAACATATCAAATATCACAACAAATACATAGTTCAATCTTTTATTTCACTTTGAACTTATCATTTTCACTTATCCTTAGCCACTATTCAATTCCGCATTTGTTGTTTCTCCAAAAATAGGATGAAAGCTCTTAAGTAAAGCTTCCACACCTTGAGTTAGGACCTAGGAGAGATGTTGGGTACATGTTCAAAATCTATAATTAATAAAGCAACCTTGATTAAAAAAAATAGACATCTTCTTCGCTCGTGACAAAATTACAATTTCAAATCAGTCATATAAGCCGCAAGACTTTTCCACATTCTTTCTGTCCTATGCAAACCATCCCAATGCATTCCTGCCCAACAATAAAATATGTATCTACTTTAGTGGCAGCATAAATGAGCATAAAGTTTTTAAGGGGGGGAATTGGGAAATTGATCTGGTTAATTATGTCATGTATAATTTTATATCTTGGAAGTTGGAACCATAGATAGGGAAGGCAAATAATGCAAGCTGCCCAAGAAATTGCTGAAGGAAAACTAAATGATCATTTTCTATTGGTGATTTGGCAGACTGGGTGTCATACACAATGTAACATGAATGCTAATGAGGTTATAACTTATAACAAACAGAGCAGGTGAAAATTCTTGGTCATAAACTAGGTGCAAAAGCTGTACTCCCAAATGATCATGTGAATAGATCACCATCTTTCAACTACACATTTCCTATGGGTGATTGAATATTAAGAACATGCTACGAGATAAAACATGTCATACTAGCAGAACCTAATCCCTATAGCACGTAATATAAGACTTAATTAGAAAATCTCTAAACCATCCTCGTAACCCTGAACTCCACATAAGACTCACTATAGAGTAACTATCTACTTGATATGAATGTCTGGCAGTAGCATAATATCAAGATAGGAATCCCTGATTCATTCAAACTTACATCCTACAATAGGATTTAATCTGTCAAACAAAAGAATAAAGTTTCAACAATTCACCATATGACACAAAGCAACTATAGAAGAAAAATATGAATATGAAGTGCATGGCTCGTGTGGGTAAATCGAACTACAAATATATTGTATGCAACTATTATTAATCAAGTAGTTCTTCCCCACTTTGAAGCTTCGACAACCATATAAAGAAGGGAAGAGGAAGCAAAGCTACTTTTGGAAGCCTGAGTTCAGGTAAATACACTACCGCGTAGGGCAGAACATATGCTGGATATCACCACCGCCAATGCCATCTTTGATGATAGTTACTCCTATTACAAGTTATAAGGTCATATAAGAAATGTGAGTTCACCAACCTACATAATACTTTGCCAATTTTCTAGAATCAATCATAACAATAACCTTCAATCATTTAATATAGCTTTAACTTAAATTAGATGAAAGCAAATAGCTGGTGAAATACAATTCGCAGATTCACATTCAAGTTTAACATATACAGAGTAATTATATGCCTTCTAATTATCTAAACACTGTCAAGTTTGGTTAATTAGGAAATCGCATAAGGGTGAACTCGAAAGGGATGCGAACGACTTTTATAGCATCTTACAAAATTTGGAGGTAAAAAGGAAATATATGAAAAGGAAAAATATGGTATGATTTTCAGAAAATTGTTCGCCAATAACCTTACCGCTCCAATCGTTGGAATTACCGAATTGCTAGGCAATCGACTCATAGCTTCGTCTTCTCTTCCATGACGGGAGAAGCATCAATAGCGGCCAGACCTCTCAATTGTAGTTGTCGGAGGAGCGATTACAGATGTAGAGCCATCATTGTAGCAGATACCCTAAGCTTGTCATGTAAGTTTTCAATAAATTTTTGTTCGTCGGCGAGACAGAGGAAGTAAATCTGCAGAGTTCGTATCCGAGCTGCACCTTCTTTTCAAGTGTTTCTGCAGCAGAGAGGAGGAGAAGAAGTCTCGCTCGACAATGGAGTTTTGGGGCTGAATAGAAGTTAACGCTCGTGATATGAAAAAAAGAAATACAATAGGCAATTTAAAAGAATTTTGGGGCTATTTTTGAAATAAAAAAGAATCAGTGAAAAGTTAAAAGTCTAGATATGAAAAAAAAAGTTTGTGGTGGGCTATAAAAGAAATACAATAGGCAATAGTGGCTAGAACGGGATATTTCCACAAATAAAAATGTGTATATAATTCTTAAAATGGTCCGAATTTTTGTTTGAAAACTTTATCAATTAACATACCTTTTTGTAATTCTTTTTAATATTACATTAGTTATATTATTGTATTCATATCAGTAAGTTAAGTATTTTATGCATTTATTGTCAAATAATGTCATTAAGAACCTAATTATTAATAATTATATTTTTGGACATAAAATGTTAATCAAAAAATTAAAAAAAAAAATCAGTGGCCGCATTAAAACATTATGGAGTATGATCTAACATTTTCGCTGACTTTATTATTGGCGGTGAAGATGAAAAACAAATCGACCATACTACCAATGTTATTTACAAGGAAGTGTTTCAAAATGTATAGACTACGGAAATCATATTATAATATTTATTTATTCCTTCTTAATCCCAAACATACTTCATACCAATTATGTATTACATCTATACTCTTTGCATACATTTACACATTATTAATAATTTTAATGAATACTCCCATAAATGTTATAGCTATTACTTAATCTATATCTCGTGCATCGCATGGGTGAGAATCTAGTAGTGACAGGAGGAGGAGGTGCGATTATTAAGAAAAAAGAGTTTATGTTGATATTGAATTTATAAAGTAAGAATAAAGTAAATATTATTTAGAATTACACAAATTTGTATTGGTATTGGACAATTTAATTGGACGGTCTGAAATGGAAAATGAGAGAATCTTAATAGGTCAAGGAGAGTACAATGTAAAAATGGTTAAAAAATTAAAAAAGTTATAATTATAAACAAAATACTTAAAATAATAAAAAACAAATTAAACTGTTTAATAATATAAAAGTAATTAGAAACTTTCATGAAAAAGTAATTGTTTTTAAAATTTTGAAAAAATGATATTAAAATATAAAAAATCAAATAAATACTCCATATATGAATTTCCAAAACATTCCAAAATTTTAAATTAAATCTAAAAAAATAATAAATATAAAAAGATGTGTTACATAAAATTATTTTTGTTTGGTATTTTTTGTTGGCAAAAGGTAACTTGTTTGGTAATACTACCTCCGTCCCTTAAAACTTTGCCAAAGTTGACCGGAACGGAGAATAATAAAGTAAAAACTGTGTGGTTGCGATTTTTGCAGAGGAGAGAGATCAAAATAACAGAAACCACAAAATATTGATTAAAAGGGAAATTGACAAAGTCTTTTGGGACATCCCAAAAATGAAAGATGTCAAAGTTTGAAGGGACGGAGGGAGTATATATTATAGATAATTATAAAAATCATAATATTAATGCAGATTAAAATAGTGTAAAATTAAAATAAACTGAGAGTAAAAAATATGAAAAACTAAAATAATGAAATTGAAAAAAGATTAAAATTAAAAATAAAATTAATGTTTCTTAGCGTGCATAAATTTTGAATTATTGTTATCATTTTATTTTTTAGGTTTTGTTGCCTATGGATTCTTAGTGTTTCTTAGTGTTGAAAATTCTAAAATATATTTATTGTTCCTTTAAGTTTCTAGTTTTTTTTTTCATATTCATAACCGAAATTTAACATTTTAGGTGCTTGTATGATAAAAAAAAACATTTTAGGTGCTTGTATCGAAATCTATATAGATATTTCTATTTTAAGGATGTAGAAATCTAACACAAACAGCAAGAATATGAATAGACAAAACAATAATAACAAACACGTGGTGAACAAAAAGTAACAAGATGTAACAAAATCCAATACATGTGGTACAACAAAACGCAGCAAAAATAATATGTACGGAGTATACAATAGTATCACAACAAATATACAATTTAATCTAATATAATATTTCAATTTACTACATTTATCTATTATGTAGTACTACCTCCGTCCCGGTGGAATTTGCCAAGTGCAAATTAAAGTAGGTGAGAAATAAGAATAGTAAAAACTGTGTGGTTGAGATTTGTGCAGAGAAGAGAGAAATGTGCATAACCACTAATTAGTTGCTTTAATAGAAAAGTGACAAAATTTTTATGAACAACAAAAAGGGAAAGTTGGCAAAGTTCAATGGGACGGAGGGGGTATATTATTTGACTTTCTTTCTCATCTTTCCTTTTCCCGTGTGAATACGAAGTCTACCTACCTGGCTACCTATAATATGATACTCTCTCCGCCCCCCTAATATTGGGACGTAGGAGAGTAGTGTGGTTTTTAAGAAAAGTAAAATAATGTGGTTGATAATGAGTTAATAAAGTGAGAATAAAGCAAGAATGAATTAGATTCACACAAATATTACCAAATATGATATGAGACATAATAATAGGGGGACATCCAAAAATGGAAAAATAAAACAATTATATATAGAGAGATGGAGGGAGTATTAGTTTTCGGAATTAAAATATATTTTATACATGCATGAGTGTACAATCCGAGAGTATACAATCCGAGTATGAGTGTGGCATATAGAATTGAAAAGGACATTAAAAAACAAGAAATTGAAAAGCTTAAATCCATAAATAACATAAAAAGGAAACTGATATAATTTTAAAAGCACAATTATATATAGCTCTTTAATATACTTCGACATGATTGATACATACATCATCTTGATTTAAAACAAAAATAAGTAGGTAAAAACAACACATAAGATGGAACATATATAAAAGTGATTAATAATAACCCTGATCTTCTTTAAAAAAAGGGAAAGTGTCAAATATGTCCTCGAACTTTCATAAAAAGGTCAATTAAGTCCTTCTATAGGAGGTTTTGCCCGGCCGTCGCGATTTGGGGCAGTTCCCGGTGGAATTTTTTGATGAATTTTTTAGAGCATCTTATTCACCAAGTCTAGTTTACTCATACCAAGTTTCAGCTAAAAATTCAACCGGGAACACATTCAAATTAATTCTTGAAGATAACTGCGCATTTTTGCGTTCTCGGATTAATTGGAATGCGCTCCCAATTAAATTTTTAGCTGAAATTTGGTATGAGTAAACTAGACTTGATGAATAAGATGCTCAAAAAATTTCATCAAAAAATTCCACCGGGAACCGCCCCAAATCGCGACGACCGCACAGAGTCTCTTATAGAAGGACTTTTTTATGGAAATTCGAGGACCTATTTGACAGTTTTCCCTTAAAAAAAATATCCCTGATCAGGAAGGTAAGTAGAAACCTTTCGGACAAACACAACCGATCTTCCTTAGCTTACCATCCTCTGCTCATACCTAACATGGCGCCCCTCTTCCGTTTGATAAATGGGAATTCCCACATGTAATAACCGTCACATTAGGTCCAAATTTGGGGACAGTGCCAGTGAGATTATTATTAGAAAGATCCACTTTAGTAAGGTAGGGCAGATGTGCAAGGGTTTGAGGGATAACACCACTAAGCTGATTGTTGGAAACATCCACTGTTTCAAGGTAGGGCAAGTCTGCAAGGGATGGAGGGATAACGCCAGTAAGCTGATTATAAGAAACATCCACTATTGTAAGCTCGGGCAAACTTGCAAGGGATGGAGGGATAACGCCGCTAAGCTGATTATGAGAAACATCCAGTTCCTGCAAGGATCGGAGGTTGGATAAGTCGGGTAGTTCTCCGAAAAGTTTGCAATTAGCGGCATAGAATTGCTCGAGGTTTAAAGAGGAGTTCTTGAGACCCTGAGGGATCTCCCACATGGGAAGATGAGCGTTGTTGGATAGGTTAACGGATGTGAGGTTGGGCTTGTAGTGGAACAGACTTGGCGAGATTGAAGTGAACTGGTTATCCTCCAACGAGAGATACCCGACCGAGTCAGCAAAGTTGGGAATTGCCCCGACGAGGTTGTTGGAGGACGCAGAGAATTCGTCCAATTTGGTCAGGTTTTCAAGATTGGCTGGCAGGCTCCCGCTAGTAACCTTCTCATAAAAGCGGAGAACTGTAACCCGGGGAGGCCCCAGATCATCAACTACATCGCACTCCAGAATAGATATCCAGTTGCACGGATGGGCGTCAGACAAGTCAGACGACGTTTCGGGCTTGAAGGTCAGGCTACTTTTCAGTGCCTGCAATACGTCGTCATCAGGGGAGGGCCCGTACTGCGCCCTAACTACTGCAGCAATGGCGGCCGCCGCAAACAAAAGAAGGAATCCGAATGACGCCATAACTGTGATCTATTACCAATATCTTAGCTAAATAGCTAGCTTAGCTTCTGTGTGATCTATTACCAATATCTTAGCTAAATACTCCGTATCTCTTAATTAGGTTGTTGGATTTGAATATAACTAATAAACTAGAGATCCATCGATGCCATATATATACATACATAATAAACTACAATGCATTCAATCGCTTCTTGTTGAACTACTGATGTCGCTTTACCGCGTCAATCACGCACCATATACTAATATTCCAGCTAGCTATCCTTTCCAAAGCAGAAATTACCTTAAATAGGAGCAAAAACGTTTTGAAATTCCAAAATAGGAGTATCATGTTTTTTAAAAAATGCCACATTAAAAGCCTTGTAATGCCAAACTTGGCAGAAATTTACTTCTATTTAGGGAATAAAAAAGATTATACTCTTATTTTGGAATTTCAAAACATTTTTACTTCTATTTAGGGAATTTTCTCTTTCCAAAGTCTAAAGACTGAAACAAAGGCAAGCGAATACGTAACTGAATGTATGTGCCATTTTCTTTAATTTGTACTTCCTCCCTCCCGTCAAATTATTGACTTTTCTAGGTCAATTAGAATCCACTTTGATCAATTATATTTTTTAATGTGAAATTATTTGGATTATGTAAATTATATATATCAAAGTATTCCTTATTCCAAATATTTTCAACAAAGTGTAAAATTTATAAATTATACGGAGTATACAAATATAATAATTAAAATCATTATCCAAAATTTGTAATCATTGACCAAGAATATTCAATATGACAAATCTTTTTAGAGATAGTATGACGTAGTTTTGGTTTGACACAATTATTAATTAAGTGGTTGAAAAAATAAAAGTTTTTATTGAGATTTGAGTATAATAAAGTTAGAGAAATTTCCCAGGATATGACTAAAGCATATTGAGTTTCCCGAAATATGACTAGTTTCATTTTTAGACATTCGTATGACTAAAAATTGAAGATCGAAAAAAAAAATCATCATATTAAAATGTTGAAGTACATAAATACGCTTATTAAAAAAGGCACATTTTGCACTAGTTTCGTGTCAAAATACTGCACTTTATGGCTGTGTTAATGCAGAACATTATGAAAATGCTTTTTGAAGCATCAATTTTAGATTTGATAACTTTAATTTTTTTTGTCTAATTAAATATAATGGAGCATGTAATTCATTGCTCTTTTGTAATGCTTCTTTGCGACTTGCGAGATTGTAATTCTAGCCCCTTGGGTTTTTAAATAGTAAGATATGCTATGGTCTAAACTATAAAGTGCATTATATTTAAGTGCATTATATTATATGGGTTTTTAATTAGATGTAAAACCTAAACTTATCAAATCTAAAAAAGAAAAAAAGAACTATAAATTCATAAATATTTCGTAATGCTTTAAAAAAACATTTTCATAATTTCGTCAATTAACACGGGCATAAAATGCAATAAATGTCGTGCAGTAATACCTACATTAAGTGCATTATTTTCAGATGAAAGTAGTGCCAAAATATTATCTAATATTTTTCTTTTTGGCGGCCCACCCCAACCTTCGGTCCTGACTACGCCCTTGGGCTAGCTTGCTGAATTGATATCACCATACCGTGTGAATCACGCACTATACTAATTAACCGATGAATATTGCCGCTACCCTCTCCAAAAACTAAAGACTGAAAAAAGGGAAACAAAGGGGAAGCGCATGCGTAACTGCATGCGTAACTGCGTGTATGACCTTCAAGTCTATTGACTATATATAATAATAGGCTAATAGCTAATCTTCAAATTTTACTTTTTAACTTACTATTACTAGATTTTGACGGAAAAAACTTGGGATTAGTTCATGAATATTCAGCGCCGGTCTTGACTAATTATGGGCCCGGGGTAAAAGACAAAAAAATAGGCCCTATAGATGTTAGTGCCGGTGAACGCTTGCAATATATGATCCCCTACAAAAAGCTCGTGATTAAACAGCGAAAATGCAAAATAGCAATCGGCCAATTGTATGGAAAGATTAAAAGATATAAATAAATTTCAACTTTATATCTTTAATTAAAAACCATTTTCTAAGTAATATACTAGATACAAGTAAACCCAGAGAGAAAAGGATGCTAAAATATGAAAAAGACAGAAGCTATCCGCCATTGGCTTAGTACTACAAGTAAACCCATAAAGTAATATACTAAATAATTAAAATTATAAATTAATGTAGTCAATTTACATAATTAGTAAATGCCTGTGAGCACCGTGCGGCAGTGCTCGTCCTCGTGTGATGATTGAATCCTTTGAGAGGTCTAGAGAGAGGATTAGAGGAAAAGGCAAAAATTAAGAATTTGAGAATTGAGTATTTAAGATTTGAGAGCAAAGAATAACGAAGGCTGACGGTTGAATCAATTAAGCAAAGCGTGTAGTTGATTATAAGAGACCAAAGAGATTCATATGATTTGTATCAGGGAGGCGGAAAGATTGAGTATCCAACGTTTGGGAACTAAATCCAGAATTGGTTAGGATTGGTATTAATGTTTAGTTTTCAATTTTTGTGAGGGAGTTCGAAAGTCTTCCTCTCGCATGTGGGCCTTGGCTCAATCTAGAACTACGAAATAGAGATTGATATCTTACCGTATAGGTCCTTGGCGCGATGTAGGTCCAGGTGCCGGGATCTGCGATGCAATGGAAATCGATGATTGCGGCTAGATATGGGAGATGGTCGATTGCATCTGGTAGCAGTGACGGGAGAATGAGCTTCAGTTAGGGTTTTTCAGTATGTATATGAGGGGCATTTCAGTCTGTTCATTTAAATTTAATCTCTTTTTTGTCCAAAGCAGATTCGGGTTCTATTTTGTCGATTTACAAGCTGGGAGTATTATGTATATCATTATTTCAAAAAACTTACTATTACTAGATCTACTAGTATAATATTAATTGGTGACAACCCCGATACCAATCTAAAAACAGGGGTACCGTATCTAGCATTCATTTAATTGGACCACATCACTTTATCAATTTTAATTTAGATTTAAATAATTCAATTGCTACCTTTTCATTGGTTCATGTGGACAAAGGTATGGTACCTTATGGGGTACTATAGAAACTACCATATTATAATACTCCGTACGTACTACGTAATAATGTACGAAGTAATATACTAGTAGTACGTACTCCCTTGTTCCTGAGTGAAGGTTTCCATTTGATTTACTATATTTGACTGGCAGTAAAATTATAAATTGATCACTATCCACATTAAAATTCTCTTTAGTGAATATGTAATTTAAAAACTACATATTCAAAGTTTTATAAAATCGAGTTTTTTTATTAGAGTGGATAAAACCAAATATGATAACCTTTACCAGGGGCGGAGCCAGACCACTGGGTCGGACTGGGCCGGTGCAAAGATTATTTTTAGGAAAAAAAAATTACATGAAAGTTTTTACCTTGAAAATTAAGCCATTTTTTAAATTTGGGGTGGGTCAGGGCCTAGGTTGGCCCACCCCTAGCTCCACCCATGACCTTTACCTAAGACGGGTAGTAACTATTAGTCATACATTTGTAAATCAGTTTTATTTCAGAAATATTTTTGAAAAAGGTACTCATGCATACTTAATAGTTAAACTCCGAGGAAGCGGTCCAGCCCAGTTGGTCGCCGACTCACTCTCTCTTATGACATGTCCCCGGGCTCAATTCTCAATGGAGTGGAAAAAAAAAGTTTAAACTCTGTATCAGGGGTGGAGTCAGGATGTGGTGAGAGGGGGGGCTAGAATATTGATATGGTGTTTACCCTAAAGTTTTAAGAAAATGTAGTGGTCAAAAATGTAGTGGACAACAATATTACTTAGTTACTATTAGTGACTATAATTGTTTCAATCATATCTAATACCATGTAATGTTACGTATATTTTTTGATGAAATAGTTAAGCATTTACGATGTTTTTACTTGGACTGTAATTTGATGGTCTGGTCTGGTAATGTCTGGTGTCTTTGTATTTTTATAACTATCCAAGTCTGGTCTGATCTGGTCTGGTATGATCTGAGACAGATTACAGTCTAAGTAAAAACATCCTTATGCCTCTAAAGTAGGGCGGGCACCACAAGCTAATGAGGATTTTTTATTCACTATAAAAAAATTGAGGAAAAATAAAAGAATTTTCTACTACCATATCAAAGTTAACAAAAATTGAGGGGGGTAAAAAAAGTTACAAGATGAAATCTAGTGAAATAAAACTTCAAATTAGGTGTTATGGCTTTTAATTTCACCGTTAGTGACAGGTTCTATTCGGTCATCTTCCTGCTTGGTACTATAGAAAAGCTTGTGTTAAGGCCATACGCTTAGGCCCCTAACCTTAGGCATAGGTCAGCCCCTGCTCCGTATGTTTGATGCGGTGATACGAAGTAGCTAGGAGACTTTTTTCAGACTATAATTGGGCCATTAGCCCTAAGTAGGACTAAAATTAGACCAAAATGCAACAATAGGCATATAATCCTTTGGGTAATTCTAAATGCACTCCCTCATTTGCTATTCACAGCCCCAGCCAGGCAGCCACTTCCCTAAAAAATGATATTTTTTATAATACCTATTTTTCCCTAAAAAATTATATAGCCTGCAAGTCGAAATGGTGCACCATATCTGGAGACTCCATGGATACATCCAGCCACCAAGGAGAGAGTGATGAAACTTATTTCCATTTTCCCCCTTTTTTTTATATTCTAATCTAATGTCTTCATTGTGTCGAGCTCGAAGCCAACCTTTTATCCCAAAGCAAAAGAGATCCCAATAGATCTAGGGGTGGGCATGGTCGGTTAACCGTGTTTTGGTTAATCAACTTTCCGATTAACCGAGAAACTTGTTACTTCGATTAACCGAGTATCGGTTAACCATAGCTTCGGTTAACCGAATATCGATTAACCAAAACTTCGGTTAACCACAAACCGGTTAACCAAAAACCATATGAAAATAATTTTCTAAACAAAAATCATAATTTTCTAAACCATAAAACATCTATGATCATAAACAAAAAAAAGCACAAGAAGAGGGGAAAAATCATACGGAGTGTCAGTAAAGCAGCATCTATTTTTTTAAAAAAAAAATCAGTAAAGCAGCATCTAGATCTCATCAATTAAAATCCCAGTCATGTCTTAATCCAATGCATTTTCAGTCACCCACACTCCTAAAAATG